GGGGGCTGACGGATGGTGACGCAAATGGTGCTAGGCGATCTAACTTGAGGGCAGATTGGAAGAGTGTAGCGGAGGTTCAAATGGCTCTTGTTACGCCGGAGTTGAAGTTTGGTGCAAGTGATTCTCAGGGAGTGTTGGTGCTCCACAATGACGCTTTAGTGATGACAACGAAGATTGCGGACTAAGATGTGGAGAGGATTCTTGTTGACATTGGGAACTCTGCAGATATTATGTTCTATGAGTGCTTTAGACAGATGGACCTTGGTGTTGAGATCACCCTGATCAAAACATCGTTGTTTGGCCTTAGTTNNNGGGGGGGGGGGAAGTGGTACCTCTAGGAGAGATACAATTGACAATGGCGTTAGGAGATCCTCCTTTGAGGAAAGTGAAGATGATTCGATTTGTGATGTTAAAGGCGGAGTCAACTTATAATGTCATTTTGGGCGGCCTAGCTTGAATTCTTTTCAGGAAGCGGTGTCCACATATTATATGAAGATGAAGTTTCTAGTGAGAGAGCTAGTGGGTGAGGTCATGGGGGATTTGCGATTGGCTAGGACCTGTTACCAAACGATGTTGAAGGCGGGTCACTTCAATTTGGAATACCCTGGCTTTTCCTTCATAAGAGGAAGTGTATGGAGGAGAGCTTGGGCAAGTCAAGGAGGAGAGCTCGAGCAAACGGAAGGAGGCCAGGACTGAGATGGTTCTACAGGATGAGCTAATGGAGATTGTCTTAGTGGAAGGAGAGCAAGAGAAGGTGACAAAGGTAAGAAAGGAGTTGAGAGAATACATCAAGGTGCAACTGGTGGCATTGTTGAGGGAGTACGTGGATATCTTTGCATTCACGCCAGAGGAATAGGTGGGCATTGATCCTAGTTGGCCGAGGATAAGCTGAACATCGACATTTGGATGAGGCCTGTCAAGCAGAAGACGAGGCATTTCAGGGCAGAGTTAGATGCAGTTATCGAAAAAGAGATGGAGAAGTTGTTTCAAGCGGGGCATTAAGTGTAACACCCCGCCTAAACTTACTAAAATCAGAGTAAATTTTTCGCGCTACAAATGGAAAACACTGATTTAATTTTCGAAAACTCATATTAATTTTTAAAAATACTTTAACTTTAATCTGCGGGATGCTACTCAACTTTAAATTCATATCTTTAATCTTTATCTCTTTAATCTAAAATGCATGCGACCAAGTAAATTCATTCTAGAATTAAGGCCATGAATAATACCGGATAATACATGCATATCTGAAAATTTGACATCTGAAATACTGACATAGTGTTCTGAAATTATGAAACATAGTTCTAAAATGTGGAAGCAGAAATAGTTCGAAAAGCACACACAAACATAAGTAAACGCGATGACAACAGATGTTTAGACATGCTCGAAAAACTATATGACATGTCATATCAAAATGTCCTGGCTGATGACCACCACCACATATCCGGCTCATGCTGCACGCTGGACTCCGTCACCTAAAAAAGAGGGTAGGGAGAGGCGTGAGAACAAAGGAATCAACGGTGCTCCGCCGGGACCGACACTGATATACTCAACACAATTAATAACAAACTATGAAATCAATATATATATATATGAGAAAACTGGCCTGACTATGGGACTAATGGTAAACCGGTACTCATATGTACACTCTGGGGGTCCCCTCCCTCAGAAATCCAGGCTGGGCCTCGCCCACTCATCTTGACGCTCGACTTAGGCTGGGCCTCGCCCACTCATCTAAGTCATAACTAACATCTGATATCTTGACCAAGACGGGATCACTCAACTGTCTCGGTCCTTCAATTTAATCACATATAGATCTCAGACATGGTAAATTATTAAAAGCGATGAAATACACAGTGCATGGTCTCCACCTGGAAATTGGCGAATGCAAGGGCTGAAATATCTGAAATGGGTAGCTGACGGAGGCTCGAATCTCCTCAAGCTACAAAACATATTGAGCGAAATATTCTAAGTACTGGGCTCAGAATAAAGATCAAATCTTTAATATCTTATATATCTAGGTTCGCTCACTCGGCTTTAGAAATCATTTAGGGATTTACGAGCTGTTTTGAAAATATTATTGTCTTTGAAGCATTCTAGAGTTCTCTGAAAATATTTCTAAGTCTGGAACTAAGATCTGACTTAATCTCATCTGACTGAAATCTAAACTTTATCTGGAACTTAAATCTATCTGGAATCTTAAATACATCTGAAATCTTAATCTGACTGGATCTGAAATTTATCTGAAAGAAATATCTGGAATTTATCTCGAACCATCCGGACTGACCGGACCGGTTCGACTGAACTGGACCGACGGCTCACTCGGAGCCGGTCGATCATTCGCTTGACTATGTGCAGCTCGGTTTGACCGTGGTCTGAGTTCGGCGTGGCAACTCGGGCCGACACGAACTCGACTGACACGGCTTAGTCGATGCACGGTTTGAAACGGTGCCACGGTCACTGACGCAGGGGCGTGCTCGAACCATGGCTAACGGAACGACCCGTAGACAGCAGTTCGGATGGACTCGGTGCACGAGCACGCACTCGGTGGTTTGACTTGGACTCGGTGAACGGGCACGCACTCGGTGGTTCGACTCCAACGGTCGGACGAGAGTCGAGCACGTGTGCGGGATGATGATACGCATTACGAATTAACGATACGACGTTTAAAAATTATTCAGACAGTACTAGGGTTCAGTCAATTATATTTGAATTCAGAAAAATACCCGGTTACCGGTACCGAATAAAACTAGGGTTTTGATTTTCGAAAGTCCTAACTCATTTAAGGCCAATATTTAATATTTTTGTGTGATTTATAATAAATCTATAATCCACAACTGCAGCTAAAATCTCAACCGGACTAATATTCTATATTTATCGGATTAACGGCTAAAGTCCCAATTTTTATATCTAAGTCAAATGACATTCAAACTTCACGAAAATCGAAACATAACATCCTCTATATAGTCAACGGTCAAAATAACAAGTCTAAAGTCAACCCCTAGAACTAAAAATCGCTACGATCGGTCAACGCATTTGACCGACTCATTTACCTATCAAACAAAGTCCAAAAATTCTCAAATTTCAACCTAGGTCTCAAAACGACGCAACGAACTTAATGGTATTTATTTCAATATTTTATCGCAATTATTTAACGAGGTCCTGAAAATGGCTTTAAGCTCGTATGTCCCGTTTTTTCCAAAGTCGCTCAAATAACCCAATTTATACCTTTATATCATTTCAAATAGTATGTCTAATCAAAACCAAGTTCTAGTTATTATACCTCACAATGCTCGAAAACGAGCAGATCGGGAAATAGCTCGGCTAAGAAATGAAGGAGAAGAAGCAACCGGTTCGGATCTTGAGCTGTGGGCTCGGTTTTTGCTGCTGAAAGTTACGAATCCGCGCTGAAGAGTTGCTGTCGGGCCGGCTTTGACTG